TAACCAGGTTTTAGGAGTTATTTCTTGGCTCGTTGATCCAACAGTTAGAGAGCATTTTTGAGTGTATGGTTTTGATAATGAAGCTGTTAAACCTCTGGTCACTATAGCTTGCTTAGCTTTCCATCTGAGACAGTTATCACATTGTTTGAATAAGGTAGCCTTATGATGAATATTTTAACTGTATGTGTAGATTTACCAGATTCCTAACTAAACCACTATAGATTCCCTAGGTTTTTGACTTAAATGTATCCTTTTTGCATCTTTGTCTTACAGTGACTGGTTATTGACGTTCTGTTGGACGTCAGTAACCAGTTAGTATGTTAGGATAGCAAACTAGTTTTGCATTCTGAAAACAAGGTTGTAGTGAGGTTTTTTTTCGTGACACGGACTATTTCGGTTAGCCGGAACTTTCGGTATCTCTATTAAGTTTTTATGTCCGCAGGAAGCAAATGTGATTGGTTTGGATGGCACGAATTGTTTTCGTCACTATCCAGTGTATATCATTCGTGTCAGTGTTGGGTGTCACGTCGTAATAGCCTTCAAAAAAAGTAGAGTATGCGAATAAGGTGTTGGGTTTCAATATGTTATAATGTGATTTGTGGCTTAGCAGTACGTTGTGGTGATGAGAGCTATCCTGAGCAGCACTACGCACGAATTTTCTGGAACAGCTGAGAGATATTGTATGTGTGCCTCTGATGCTTATTATGACAGTTCGATCCCACTTCTGCGAAGGCTTTGCTTACTATTTGGGACTGGTAGATGACTTATTTGCGTTACTGTACACTTCAGTTACAACTTTGTTTTTAGTAATCCCCGAAACTTAACTATCCAGTAGTTTTGTGTTGCGTACTCGGTCACACAACGTAAAGACTTACTATATTACCCCTTAGCTGGACGAGGTGAACTTTGGACATTACACCTGTTGTTTGGAGACCGATTGACTGGGTGAATATACTGAAGTCTGGTCAATGTAAATGATAATTTACACGGATGAATCCCTTAATGCACACATGCGACTTTAACACGCTTTCCCTATAATACTTTCGTAGTGCAACTGAGAAAACGTCTAACGTAATTGTCGAACTAAATATAGCCTTTCGGCTTGCAAATTTTCGGTCTGTCGCAAAGCCCATTTTCTCCATCTTGGATAAGTGGAAGCTATTTTGAGCATCGTCAATCAGCATTATTGTTCACTTGGTGATAATGATGAGCTGCAAATACTAGTCAGTTAGTAGAAGTCACATTATTAATATGGGTAAACTTCATGACAAATGGTTAGTGAAACTCAGGGGGGCAACATGCAAGTATTTGACGTAGTTATGTTAGCTTTTGATAGCGCGGGAAAGGATGAAGATATTAGAGTATTTGAAGGGGATAGATTTGGAACTGCAAAAATGCGTATGATACATTACAATAATTTTTTGGATCAATAATGTTAAAGCAAGGGACATTGACGAATCTGACCAAAAGTTGCTAGTAACTTCAACACTTCTCACCGTGTCGTGACAAACGATAAGAAAAGTTTTAGGTCTCATAACTTCTTACTAATGAATTAGGCCCTCCAGTGATTAGCATAATTAGTATATATATATATATATATATATATATATATATATATATATATAGGGAGAGAGAGAGCTGTAGGGAGTTGACTTTCTAATAGGTGATCAAGAGTTCGAACTCCACCTATTTTCAGCTAGGTAGTATAACTAACCCTCATACAAGATTCAGCTCATCGCCTAGTGCACGAATCTACACGTTTGCTGATTCAGATCACATTCATACCTGTAGATATAGTTTGCCCACTAATGTACCACTTCTATCCACTTAAAATCGTTTTACTTTAAACATCCAGTCTGACGTATATTTAAATGATGAAAAATTAAGACCCATCAGTAGGTGGACATCTGGCTATATTGTGTTCATTCCAGTTTCCTGCGATAAAAGTGGACTACCAACCGTATTTCATTTTCCCATTCTAATTAATCGGTCTTGCTTAAATTCGTTTATCTGATCAATGTTGGTGAGTGGTATTTCTTTTCGAGTGATTCTTACAAAACTGGGTGGTTGTTCTGTAGCGAACTATGGTAGTGCTTTCATATAATGAGTGTCTTGGTATCCATGACCTACCGAGTAAATGAAATTTTCTGATTTCAATTGTTAGTGTACTCTCTTACTTGATACTTAACTAAACCGTTTTGTTTAATATTCTGTAAGTAGGGGTCACTGTAGTTTTCTTATTCGTATATGATATGATTAGACACATGGATTCGAAACCCGCTCCACCTGCCGAGGTTTGAGTAGTATCACTAGCCTTCACACAAGAGGTGTGGCTCATAGCCTACTGCACGAATGTGCACAAAGTGGCTGAGTGGATTTATCTTTGTTATCTATCTTATCTGTTTTACCCGATGTGACTTCCTTTTACTACTTCACCCCAACGATATCTGGTGTTTTCTAATCAGAGTACGACTGATTTTAAATGTAGTCGGTTGCTGGTTGAGCACATCCAAACCATTATTTCGAAGTTACTCGCTACAATTAGCCTGTTTTCCTGTTAGAAGTAATTAGGATTCCCATGTTTCTGTTTGTCTGGTTGTAGTCATCTTGAAACTGGCTTCGGTGCCCTCGACATTCGTTCTGCATGCCATCCCGAAGGCTCCCACACCAGTCACTGTTCCCTTGCCCTGATACTGGTTGGAAGAAACTGAGTTGCCGGTTTTTGACCTGGCACCAGGGGACGAGTGCTAGTTGTTGTAGGTTAGTATCTGTAGGTGCTTCACGACTTCGTGGATGGGGTAAGAGAAATCATATACTTCTGTTACCTGAGACAACAGCAGACATGGCCCAGAATCAAAACCATTGGTGCCGCTTTCTTGTTCCTTCTGCTACTGAAAAGTAAAGTAATGAATGCCTCAGATGTGTCTTTGAGCTTGCTTCTTTAATGGCCCACTTTTTGTTTCCAGCCTCCTGTTTTGTCTTCATAATGTTGCTTTATTATTTTGTATCATCTCTTGGTGTGCGTTTGTTGTAACAATATTTAGCCGTTATCTGCCGTCTGAAGGTATTTATCGGTTGTGGTAATTTGAACAGTTTCACGTGTCTTGACAAATAGTACTGTTAGGCGAAGAGGCTGACAGGATGCAGTCTTCTGTCAATTTGAGAATGTTTGGGATGCGGTTGTCACCACTCAAATGCAAATTTTTGCTCCAGGATTGGTCTTCAACGGTCCCACGGCTAACAATAGAGAGTGTAGAGGTTGAGTGTGTTGACCACTTCACTTACCTGAGAAGTAGGATCAGCTATGGTGAGTCATTGGCCGACGAAATTTCTACACGAATACAAAAGGCTCGGCTGGCTTTCGCCAACTTACGCCATCTATGGCGCCGCCGTGATATCCGTTTGTCTATTAAGGGTCGCGTATACTGCACAGCAGTCTGGTCTGTTCTGTTGTATGGCTGTGAAACATGGCCACTGAAGGTGGAAGACATGAGAGGGCTTCAAGTGTTTGACCACTGTTGCCTTCGTAGTATAGGCTGTATTCTGTGGTTTCACCACACGAGTAACGCAGACGTCAGGTATAGAGTTTTAGAGAGTAGAGGTAAATCAGTTGACGAGGTTATGATCCTTCATCGACTGGGATGGTTGGGACACGTAGTACGTGTGTCTAGTCATCGATTACCTCATCACGCAATGTTGGCCGAAGTAGATCCAGGCTGGGAAAAGGCCCGAGGTGGCCAGACTAAAACATGGGACCAATGTATGAAGTCTCTGACTGTTGGTTTCAGCCATGTGGGGCGATGCAGACTAGTCGGTTGGAGTCCGCGAGTCAAGAGGGACCAGTGGTTGGAGACTGTAGGTGATATGGCTGAGAACCGATGTCAGTGGCGCAGATGTATACACACATTATCCTCATCTTAACATTATGCCGATTCTCACCATTTTGTCATTCTTCCCTTCTTTCTCCTCGTATTTCTTTTGACTGGATTTTCTTTTCTTCATCTCCCACTTCACTGCTTTTGCCTTTTTACTTGATGTACTGATATGAGCTGTGGCAACTTGGACCGTTAGGCAGTAATGCCTGGTCCTATGTTGATATTGTTGATGATGAGTACCCTTTCTATAATCCAGGCTACATTCTTTGTTTGTCGACAAATTACAATGCAGTGCTATCTCTTCCGCATCTCAACATTCACAAGTGTGGAAGACTACTTACTACTTTGCAGCTTAGACACTCATGCTTTGCCCTCAAAATGAGTGCTGTCCCTTCATCTTTGACCTGACGCAAATTCACTTCTGACCTCGAGGCATGTGCCTGATGAAACAGCTACTGTCAGTTTAATCAGCTTAAGTGAAAAGTACCTTTATATGCAGAACACTGTTGTGTAACTTTTTCACTACTTAGCGGTTACTATGAAATTTGTAGTACTTGTAGATTCCACTTAACTAGACATTAAGTTGTCTTTTATGTGAAAGTGTACTGTCAAAAGTTGCTGCGATGTCAGAAAGAAATCAATTGTTTTGTAGGACTAAGTGAAAAAGTGAATAAAGTGATTCTCAATTATCAGGAAGTACTCCGGTACTGGCTTGCTGTAGACTCATGTGTACTGCTTACGATAGTGTCTCAAAGCATAGAAAACTAAACAGCATTCATTTCCCTAGGAGTTGTTATGAATCCTTACAACCTTATTTCTTTAAAAACTTTCTTTTTCTGGTTTTCTCTTAGGGTGTAGTGGGATGAACGGTGATATCTCCCGCATCCCCATTCAGTCGCTGAGTGCTGTAGTTAGTCTGACGGATATAATTCCCGAGCTGCCACTGCCAACCCCTTTGCATGCCGGCTCAAGTGCGGAAACATTGTTGCACGATCCTAAAATATCAATAGACGCTTTTCAGTGTCCTCATTTTAACCATGATCGACTCGTGGGTTACCTCAGTGAAGCGCTTGGCAGTGTTTGTACAAATAACATGTAAGTTTTTTCATAATCTTTTTATTTAATATGAATAGTGATTTCAAGGAGGGATTCGCCAATGATGTAATCGACCCCTACATACTACCTGAGCCTCTTGTTAACTGTTTGCGAAAGCTACCCATTTTTGAACAGAAAAGGGATTTTATGGCCTTTCCTCTCAAGAATCATTTAATCCAGTTACTACTGTTTCTAGTGCATATAAAGTACAACCTAGTTTATGGTGTTCATCTCTGGATCAGCGGCTATCTACCGGAACACATCCCTATCCGAACTGTAAGTTTTTCGTAGCAATAAAGCTGTTTTACACTGACAGTTTTCTGTATTCGATTTTCCATTGACTATAGTTTTTCAATGCATACTGCCGTTTCTAAGCAAAGTTTTAAAAGGACCCGGGTTATGGTATTTTCTTAGGTAATTCAAGTACCATTATAGCGTGTTTGACCGAGGAATGAAAATGGGTACAAGTAATAGGGCATGTTAAAGACATTTTTTAATAATAATAATTGCGTTATTCTGAAAGATATTTCGGCAATACTGTACAAAATTTTCTGCATGCCATACAGCATCAATTGGACAGGAATTGTGTATATGTTCACATAAAATGAAGTAATTGTAAATTACACACAAAAGATGAGGATATTTACTCCATCTACAACTTTCTTGAAGATACAGAGTTAACCTAGATGAAGAATCCCATTAGCAATTAGATTCATAATCCATAAATAATAGCAAGCTGTGTATTCTTTAACTGGTTTGCTTTGAAAAACGAAATCTGACCAGTTAGTTCATTTCTAATACTTTATTTGTCGTACACGAGACGAGCTAAATGTGGAGTTTGTATATTTAGTATTACGTGCATAAAGTCTTGTATACTTGATCCTGGTCTTACGTGACGACCAATACGCGGTGAACTTTGAGTAAAGAGAATACTGGTCACCTGATAAAATAACTCCTATCAGACGTTTACATGAGTTAACATGTTTGCCCTCAACAGTTTTAATTAGAAGGTTCAGAGATACACCTCTAGTTCTGCTGATGTACACTTCGGATCAGCGCACTTATTTCAAGAAGTCTGCCTTTGTAGATGCACTATAGAATCACTCAGCGGCAGTTTGGCTTTTCAGATTTCAAATGTGCTTGTTGCTTGGGTTCACAACAATGAGGAGAATTCATTTTCATCTCTGTGAAGTTTCGTTGTGCTTCGTTGTTTTACTTGAACTAGTTTATAAGTTACAATGCATGCTTTCTTGTGAAATGGGTTACTTGTCATCATCATTGGGTTATCTAACGATGTTTTATATGTGAAAGGTGATTGACCCCAATACCGGAAAAGTTTCCCCCTTGGAATAATTTCCGATAAGTGTATGCAGTTACTCTACAGGAGTATATCAAGTTCGGATACGCATTGATTGGAATGAAATTGTTGTGGTCAAGAAGTACTGGTTTTCAATAACCGCTTACCAGTTGCTTTCGTGTTCGAGTTGGTGCATCTGGCTAGCGTACAGATGCTTTATAAGGTTATGTCGACGACGTTTGTTGACCAAATTAATTCTCTCATAAAGCCATATTTCCCTAACCTACACGATGCATTCCAATTCACAGGTTGGGAAAAGGTTCATATTTGATTACTGTTTTTCAGTTTAAGCGTTGATGAAAAGATCAGGAATCCTTATCGGAAAATCTACGGTTACTGAAAATCATGAAGATTCCCTCGAAAGCGTATAAGTATATCTGACCACTTCCGTAGCAGTGTGGACTGCTTTACCCACAGATGTAAATGATTTCATCCGTTTTCGATCTACTGTAGATTTAAGTAAGTAAAGTTTGGATCATCCTAAAAGGACTAAAAGGTTTAATCACTCAAGATTACATTTCATGTTCCGTTTAGTGGTTGATTTTGTGATCTCACTAACGAAAGTGAAATTTGCCAGACAGGCATGACCATATGTGTGATGCACATGTCTCGTAGCTGGGAAATGTGAGTTTCATATCAGAAAGTTGGGAAGAGAAATATGCTGATTATATAAAGAAAGAAACTGGACCGCAGTTCAATGAGACCAGCATTTGAAGTCGATCGCAAGTTTGGTCTGTCGGATACATTTTGATAAGTTTGCGCTTATTCCTTTTTAGAACTACTCTTTGGGAATGCAATCTTCAGAAACATGGTGTTCTGTGTTTTGTAAATTTTACGTATGTTTTTCACCCCTATGCTAGTGGTTATGGCTTCTCTGAAAACCATTTTTGATGGGTATGCTTACTGGTCATCATCGCAAGAGTACTGTCATGTACTACTGAATTGGATTTTTTAAAAGCTAGTTTGACTATGGTTCAGCAGTCTAAGCATTCAACTGTCAACTATTGATTTACACGTTGATGTATCCTCATTCTGCTTGGATTATGGTGACTTCATAGTTCCTTTAGGCTTTCCGATAATAACGGCTCAGTTCCCAGTGTACAAATTTGTACATATTTGCTGGGTAATAATAGTATTCATAACTTTATTTTCTTAGTTGCCAGTTAATTTTCATTACGTGGTTAGATAACTTTTCTATAACTGGTCCTTCATGCTGTAAATGCACCACTCATTTTATGTTCATTTGTGTTCAGTAAAAGTGGAAACAGAACACATTATGTCCTCGCTAACAAAGTTTGATTTCGACTGATAAGTCAGTAGTTGGGTAGTAGGGCCTTTTCGAAGAAATGATTTGGAGTAGTTTATTATGGGGACTGAAAATGCCCATAATGTAATCCTTCGCAATTTTGTTGTGTACGAGCAATTGTCTAACTCTTAGGTTTTGTTCTATGATGAACCTTTCACATTTTGCTTTTTTTTAAATATACAGTATAGATATTTCAGATATATCAAGTTAACTTATCTCAGTTGATGGCTGCTACCTTGACGTGGTGGTTGGACCTGTATATCGCAATGACCTGACGACCTAAACTGGTTGGAACGCTTGTCCCCTCGAGGTCCTACCATGCCAGAAGGGTTTGTTAGACAGTGGTTAGATGAAATGCACTTACCGTTATAGCTTAAATGCCTATGCTATGATGGGGGTCCAAGAGTGATTTCATACTCCTGACTGAATGGGGTATGGTGGAAGTAAGGTGTTTCCCTTAGATGACCAGCAGTACCACGCTGATGTTGCCTTCCCGGTGGTAAGGAAGGGTTGGAGAAGGTCGACCTTCAAAATACCACATTTCTTCCTATCCCACGGTTTCCCGTTGCCGACGGTATGGGTTTTCTCTAACCGCCGTTAGAACAATCTTGAAAAGGTTGTGTGCGACAGTCTTCAAGTAGATGTCTTATGAACTATGCAGTCACAAACCTTTGTCTCTTCCAGGTACCATGCAGAAACAGCGGGGGACTTTCAACTACTCGCACGCATCCAGTAGTCTACAAGACCAAATCAAACATAACCTACCTTCCTGACATCTGTTTCCTGCTTTGGATTCACCTCTTGATACCTATATTGAGCTTTTTACAATCTCCTTAACTTCTCACTCTGAGTCTATTGCCACCTATTCAAGCCATCAAAACATCTCTCCTAGTCCCCTAAGAACTCGCTGTCGATTTGATATTGGAGCTATCAACGTCCGAACTGTATACTAAATGGGATAGCAAGCACCGCTGGACAGAACACTGGAATCTCTAGCTATGCATATATGCTGTGTCTCTGAGATACGCATACAGGACTATCGTAGACCCAGTGGCTAGCTCTCGTGGACTCGCTGGTGTAGGCGTAGCATTGAATTGTAGAGCAGAAACTTCACTTCTCGACTGGATACCAGTAAACATGTGTCTATGTGCTTTTCGACTGAATGGATCTGTAATAACTTGCCATGATCGTAAGACTAGTCCATGCCTATTCGCAGTCCCCTCCTGCCGTTCGGATGATACGAAGGATTTCTATGAAAAGCCGTCAGTGTTTTGCTACAGCAAATTGTATTCATAATAGCAGGCGACTTAAACTTCCAAGTAGGAAAGCTAAGGCATTCGGAAAGACTTCCTGGAAGTATCTACGGAATTCCGTGGCAGGGAACCGACAACGGTGATCGTCTGTTACAGCGTTGTTTAGACAATCATTGTTTCTGACCAACACTAACTTCAAGCATGAAGAGAGGAACTGTCTCACATGGTATCCACCGATATCGAACCAACGATGGACACAGATGAATCGCACCGCAATAAGCTACTGTTGGCGGGAATCAGTGGAGGGTTGCTGCTCTTTTTGGTGTATCTGTTCGAACTCCGATCACTTATTAGTACGGGCACATGTGTATCTGCACGTAACCCGTGTTCTTCCCGAGGAAACCTGGCGTGATATTAAGTCTGCTGTAGAAACAGCAGTAAAGATGATAACCTACACCCGAAGGTTGCTAAACGTCACTGGATTCTGCGACGTCATGCGAAATAAGTGATGCGAGAGGACTGATTGCAGTTAGCTCCAACCATGATGAGCGGAAGCAACTCTGACTAAATTCATCAAGAGTCTTCACGTCGATCATGATCAGTGGTGAGTGACAAGAGCGAAAGATGAAGAAGGCATCAGCGGTGGGTAAAACTCGGTAACTATTTAGGGTTATCAGGGATACCAGCAAAAATAAAATAACGATTAGTGGAACCGTAACAGAAAATGATGGGACGCTGACCACCTTCCAGGACAGGCGACTAGAACATCGAGCGGAACACTTTCAAGCACAGTTCAACTGGCCCTCAGAAACGAATGTGACGTAGATGTCGGTCCTCCAACTCTCTTTGAAGTTGAGGAATCTGTATCTAACATGAAACGATGCAATACAACAGAACGTGACAATTTGACGACAGAATTTCTAAGGATAGGATCAAAGGTAGTCCTGTCAGACTAGTCTACCTCACTGATCGTCCCCGTTTGCAAGATGGGAGAAAAATCTTACTGTGAAAAACAGGGGAATTAGTTTGACTCATATCGTGTCCACGATCCTGGAGTCCATAGTTTTCCTACGCCTAACTGTAACTCAAGAAAATTAGGCAGGTTCCAGACATAGACGGGGATGTATCGATTATATTTTAACTCTCCGACAGGTTCAGGAAAACAGGCATACCTACCGGCAACCGACACTTGCCATATTCCTCAACTTAAAGGTGACATTTGACTCTGTCGATCGTGAGGCATAGCAGTGTCTGTGAAAGTGGTACCCAGCAAGCATAAAACGCTCATCAAACCTCTCCACCCGAACTCACATAGCCATGTTTGGGTTTATGAGGAGTTGTCATTTGTGATGACAGCTAATTGTGTCAACTGCGGATGCCCACTGTCACAAATCCGTTTAACTTCACTGCAGACATACTATTAGACGTAACCTTAGGTACGTCTGATTAATCAGGGATTGATCGACTCCATGGAGGTAATCTGACTGATTTCTAGTATGCACACGAAATTTTCCTGCTGGGTGAAGTCGCTAACAAAACGCATTAAACAGAATCTGAGTGTGTTTGACATATGTTTCGCACCTGTGAGATGTGGGATGATGCATCAGGACTGGCGTCCAACTGCTAGTTTATGTATAGAGAATAAGGTGGTGGAGTGGGTCGACGACTTCACTTACTTGGGAATTGCATTAGCCCGAACAGGTTTGTTGCTAACGAAATGTCAGCTCAAATACAGAAGGCCCATTTGGGATTTGCCAACCTACGTCATTTGTGACGCAGGAGCGATATTCAACCGTCTACCAAAGGACGTGTATACTGCACTGCAGTCCGTTCTCTCCTGGTATACAGTTGGGATACAAGGCTATTTAAAGTTGGAGATACGAAGTGACTCCAGGTTCTGATCACAGTCCTCTTCATAGCGTTGCTTGCGCTTGATGGAATCACCCTGTGAGCTGTGCTGAGGTCAGACGAAAGGTATTAGGCAAGTCGACTGATTAAGTTGTGAACCTTCAGTGACTGAAGTGACTTGGATATGTGCTGATCGAGTCACCGCCTACCTCGAAGCGAAATGCTAGGAGGAGTTGGATAGGGTTGGAAGAGGGTTCAGAGTGGTCAGATTGACGTGGTACCAGTCTATAAAGTATGTGACTTTGTCTTAGTTGTTTATGAAGGTGTTGACTACTTGATTAGGGTCACCGAGACTATAGGAATCACTAGCTTAGAAGTCTTGGCGACATAACTGAAAATCAGTCACAGTGGAGCAAATGCATTCATTCTTTGATATCTTCTAAAGCTTGAATGTTTTTCCGAAATTCCCTTTCCTCCAATTCACCTTTATCTGCTTTCATATAAATTCTTTCTATCTTATTTATATGCTCCCGGGAAGTGTGCCATCTTGAACGGATGCACTTGTGTTCAAGGTTCTATGTTGATTTTGTTTGTCTGCCCTTCAAGTTAATTTGTTCCTCTGATTGGGACTCATTTACTTTAGTAATGAAGCAGGTTTATTCACGTAAAATTTTCCTGAAGTCAAGTAATCATACTTCTACCGCAATAGTTTGTCATTGCCTGTGCGAATTCGTAAATTTGCTAACTTTTGTTCGAAGTCTCAGACACTTGAATAATTTCATCTGTGAGGTGTTTATTGAGTATTTATGAAAATAGTAGACATTGCAAGGTAATTTTCAAAATATTCCTGTCTTTCTATCCAGGACTGAGCCTGGTTATTTCTACTGTCATCAATCCTCATATTTCAGCAGGGGAATTTTATGATTTGATGTTTCTTTTAATATTTTTCCCCAAAAACTACTGTGAACACTTCTTATTGTATTGACTGTTTTTGTTGCGTTATGTGACCGTATGTCAGTATTGTCGCCGTTAGCTTGTTCCAAGTGACATTCGATTTATCTACGGGATTCCGGCAATCATAACTATATATGTAACATCTTTTAGTCACAGTAATATATTTTCTCTTTCAGCGTTTGAGGAACCAAGTGGATCTCCCAATAAGAAGAAGAAAAAGCATAAAAAGAAAAAGCATAAACACTATGAAGATGGTGATACAAGTGGGACAGGAGGTGAATCAAACGCTACTACTCCAGCTGCTTGCGGTGGTACTACTCCGAACAAAGTTGAGGACAACTGTCTGTCTCCTGCTTCAACATATGGTGTTGTCAAAGTAAACGCTGATACTAAGAAGCTGTCTTTAAAAATTTTTAAACGACCTGCGAACGATGGTTCCCAGCCTGTTTTTACGGTGGAGCATTTGGGTGGTGGTGGGGCAGTTAAGAAGGAGAAGAAAACGAAGCGAAATAAGGATAAAGACCGTGAACGTCGAAACCACCGTGAAACCCATTCAAAATCAGATCCTCCGTCTTCACCAATGGAAATGCATATTCAGCAAACTATGCCATTACCTGTAGAGTTAGCAATAAAAACTCATAACACTCTCACTTCAAGTAGTCCTGTTATTACAACAACAAATAACGATAGCTGTAAAAGTGTAAGGCCAATCCTTCCTGCTTTTACTCATCCTATGTCCAAAGATCCTTCCCAGTTAGACTTATCGCTCATAACAAGCGAAAGTTTGTTCGAAAATTTGAGTTCAATGAACAATTTGTATCAGCAACCTCAGTCTCAGTCCACTTCCAGCCTTCCCAGTACTCCAGTTTCATTTTCTGGAGATGGCAAAACAGTTGTCTCAAGTAGTTGTGGTCCCTCCACGTGTGTGTATAGCACTTCCGATACCTCACAAGTTAATTCATTCACTTCCAAATCAAATATATTTTATGAGTTGTTACGAAACAGTGATTCTGCTACGACACTCAGACACATGACGGACAGTGTTCCTAGTGATATGATAATGCCATCTAGTTCATCTGCTTCGAATGCTATAAGTTCTGTGTGCAACATGATGGACTTTGCTTCTAGCTTCTTGCAAAATGAAATGCTTTCATCCAATTCCTCTTATGTTAACTTTCCACTTGGTATTACTTCCTTAGCCACTTGTGATAGCGCTACTGTCCTAAAAACTAGTTTTCCTTTGCAGCAATCTAGTACCAATGCTTCATTCCTAGTTACATCACACTTACTTGATTCTAGTCAATCATCTGTTGTTACGGCTGCGGACTCCACTTTGGATGTTTTTGGGTGGCATACTGAATAATTCTGGCTATGCACCAATTACAGATGTTAGCCCTGCTACCTTTGCTGCCAATTTTGATATGCCTGGTTTACCACCAGATTCCTGTACTCATCATGTTCCTATGGGACTTGCAAGTTATCTTTCTGCTCCCACTCAAAGTGTTATAAATGCTCAAAATCAGAATGATTCTCGAATCCAAGGTCAAGAGTCTATTCGTGCAGACTCAAATTTATCATCAACAACAACTAGTACTCCACAACCATGGTGGAAACGCAAGAGCAATTGTTTGTTAAGAAGACGTAAGTCGTCTTTAGAAATCGCGTTTTGTTGGCGTTACCTTGATATCTTAAATAGAATTATAAAATTGAGATTTCTTTTACATTTTTTTCTCTAATGCATTATTACTATAGGCATAAGTTTTTTGTTCAACAACTGAAGCTCTAATTTATTATTGGTGTTTCACTAGTTGTCTGTTTTTTGCTACTAGGTAAACGCCGAAAAAATGAACTCGAAGATCTACAATCTTGGACTGTTAATTATCCAATCAGTGGACCTGGTGTGTCAAAATCTGCTTGTGAACGCTCAAAGGCACCGATGAACGAACTTGGGATGATGCGATCGGTTCCTATAGTCAGGTTCTTGGTGAACGTGCTAAAAGGCGAAAAAGAATGGTTAAACAAAGTGGGAATTTGGATTCAGACTACGTTTTTGAAAACGACAAGGACTATCCAAAGTGAGTTTGTCGATTAGGAGAGTACTGTATTTCGAAACATAGTTTGAGGAATAAATTTACTACATTCATGGTTTGCAAACTTACTACCATATCTCCTTTTTGAAAAGTGGGAGGTAGGATTTAAAGCTGTAGTCTTTCGTTTACCAAATGAAAATTTTATATATATATATATATATATATATATATATATATATATATATATATATATATATATATATATATACTGTAGTAACCATCATGAAAACATTAAAATTTGACTTCAAGGAAATTTCCTGCCATCCACTTGATGAGCGATAACACACCGACTATTGGTGATTATGGAGTTTCTGACTGTTTCCTGTTTTGTGGCGGTTAGCAATCCACAAGATGACCCTTTCCGATCTTAGGAAGTACTTGCTGGATGTACCTGAATTCCATTACGTGATGGCGAACCTTTGGCCCGTTGATTGAAATTCCAAAGCATCTAGTAGGCTGCTGAGTTACACGAACCACTTATTGTTACTTACCAGTATCTGTAATTTCTTGTCGTTTACTTCATTGGGTCAGCCTGTCAGCACAATATCTCTCTGAACGAATGTCCTGATATTACCTTAAATTTCAGTTTGAAGTAATCCTGTTGATGATACAAGTACATCCGGCTAGTGAGTTCTTAAAACCATAAGGGATGCATCCTTAGTTTTACTTTCAGTTACTACGAGCACACAAAAAACAGAAACCTTTGGTTGAAAACTTGTTGCCTTACGTTTACTACTTTGGACTACCGCTTCCACTTCGTTACAAAGTAGGAGTCAAAGTCCTGAAGAATCATTTTACATTTTACAAGAAATATTTTACACGTTATACTATCTTATTGCAGTCAACACAGGTTATCACGTTTGATTAACTACTTTACGAAGATTAAATAGCGCATTTTCAAGATATTTGACCTCATTGATACTGTTTTCAGAAGTTGTGATCATTCAAAACAACGACTAACTTGGTTCCCATTTACAGGTTAAAATTTCGCAGTATTCGAGACCAAGACAGATGGTCTTGAATTCGCGCTTCTCTGTGTGATAACGATCATTTACTGTTTAACGTTTCGACACTTGCAGTTTTTGGTGTCGAATTAGTAAACGCTTTGTCATGCACCAGAAGGTGGAAATCGGTATAAAGCCCTCGATCTGTTTTTCCTGCTTGTTAGCACTTATCAGCAAGGCATATCTGTAACCAAGAGGAAACCTGCACTCGCTCGGTGATTCGAACCAAAGTCAGCACATCCACTCTTGACGTGGGTAGCACCTACATTACTGAGAATAGCCGTTTCGAAAAACACTTATCCCGTAGGTCTTCAACACCTTAAAAACTGCTTTTCAGCTCAGTCCGAGAAAAATTTGGCTGCTGACGCTCTAGCATGAACCTCACGATAACTAACCAGAAAAGTCTGTGCCTGATTGGGAGTGGCCTTGGTCGAAATCAACTTCCTACGTCGTCTGGCAAGATGTAGGTTGTTTCGTGCTACTGCATGTGCAGAAGGAACTTCATCAGACGACTTTGTCCTACAGCTGACCAGTTGAAATAAGCATCCAAATTCTGACCGAGTGGGATTATATTCTGGGGGAAACCGCAACTAAGTGATGTGCTTCTGTTAAATAAGCTGTCTTCCTTACGGTGGCAGGCTGGTCTTTGTCTTCTGATCATCGCAGTTCGGTGGTATACAAGGTTCACAGGAAATACAGCCACTACCCGTATTCACTTCAAATGTCTCACTGCCCTAGTAGCATTCTCGTACATCGTGGTGTTCTAAAAGTTACATTAAAAGACTGCCACAGCCGACGCAAACGTTGTTTGTGATGATCGAATACTTGGCGATGGGTGACTCCAGGCTCGGCTGATCAAACATCGAAGATGTGGTATACATGTGCATGAAGCTGGTGCTTTTTAAAATAAAAATGCGTACATGTTGGATGTCTCGTGGCAGAGTCGCGCAACTCCTCCTGGCAGCCTCTGCGAGGCTAAAGTTGCTGGTCAGGATGACCAATCAAACACCCTTATATTTGATACTACCACCAGCATTCGAGAGGACAATGAGGGTAAAATCCCTGAAGCTCCACAACACCTGCTCTAATCATGCCTAAAAGTGTTGAAACGTGTATACTTTCGACAACGAATGCACAATGTTGTCGAACTGTCTCGTCGACAAGCGTCAACTGTAACTATAACCTCATAGAGCGTTCATTCTTCATACCTCACTGATGCAAAATTGAAATTTCTCTACCTCGTTGACAGTCGCTCATAAGTTAAGATTCCCTTTTCAACTTTGGATGAGGATCATGATAATCCACTGTCCCATCTACTACAGTCAAAATAGGAAGCAGCAGTAACGTGTAGAAAATGAGTCTTTCCTAACTTGGGCTTAAGCCCACCCGCTCATAGCTAACATCTCAGTTCTCATCATCGACACATGATTTCTAAACCACCTTGACCTACTTGTGGATATCCGTAGATGATAACTGTCGGCCAACAACACTACGCTATGTGCCAGTGCACCGGCCGTCATAGGCCTGGTCCTACCCATACCTGTTTATATCAAAGCACTCCACTTACTCACTGAGCACAACTGCACCAGGCAGATATCTGGGTTCAAGACGGTCTGGTCATGGTCTACTGGGCTAGCCAGAAGTACTATGCATTGCAGTAGAGCCACTGGTGATATTTCGGTTACCGCCACTGGAATTCAACACGTATATAACGAAGTAGGTTTGATCCTGAAGTATATCACACCTACGAACCTCTCAGAACTTGAACAAGTAATACCCACTGGGTGGCTCCGCAATAATAATATAACCCAAATGATGAATTGTACGAGCACATGCCACTTTTACGGGTGAAATCTAAATGTTATTTCCTTATTGAAGCTGTAAAAATTTGGAAATGATCATATCATCGTGCAGTCTTCCGTAGTAAACAATTGCTCAGATGTTGCTTGTTACAAATATTGAATAAGAGCGATATCGTTAAACAACGGCGTGAAAATTAATAAGGGTATAATCACTCAGTATGAGAAGTAATAGTGAATCATGAAATCTACAAGAGTATACTGCGTATCCAATGTTGAGAAAAAATGGGTCCGAAGACATGTCTGTATTCAATAAGTTTGCACTGTCTACAGATGGCGAACAAAACTGGGATGGACGGCGGGGGTAAATTTGGGTCTGGTGTTGTGTGGGGTCGTGCAGGGTATAGCAATTGTTAAAGTTCATAGCGTTTTAAGCAGTCATTTGAATGATTAAAGCCAGGGATACGTTTCTGTCTAGCTGCTGCTGTCATATATTGGTGGAGAACATAAGAGGTCTCACCACCAAACCTTTCAATAAGACTCTCGGTTAGCTTTGATTTCAGGTGAGTGATCGTTAGGACTGAAAGAACTTGGACGTCTGGATGCAAATGGCATTTTACACCAACATTTCTAGTTGTTCTTCAAGTTGGAGCTGTCCTTAGGATAGGTTGTAGCCTGGGACGAATTATCTGGCTCCTAGGGATTTTGCATCTACAGGCGGCAAAAGATGATAGTTCCGACGTGTTGAATAGAAGTTCGAAGTGCACCTTGGTGGTCAGTGTGTTGGTATGATCCGCCATCATGATCTGGATATCGGGTGAAAAACAGAAACATAGGGGCATGAGAACTGAGGTTAATTGTCATAGAATATGGGGGAGAAATATTGTCAACCAGAGTATTTAAAGAGGTCACTAGGGATAAGGGGTTTTAAAGTCTAATAAACCACCTGAAGAAAACCCTTGCGGTTTCACGTTGTACATTTCTCGCAATCTCGTCTAATTCGCATCGCAACTTCATAAAGATGGTGGCTGTTTTGCATTTGAGAACCAGTATGAGCTCTTTTATGCACAAATGGGATTACAGGAAGATTGTTACGACAATCCTGAGGGAAGGGAGGGTGGGGCATTGCACATTTCAATCGCCTAGGGTTCGGCGAGATTCAGCATTGTTGCTGACCCTCATAGTTTTACCTGACTGGCTGAGCTGAAGACACCTGGTCAAGCACCCCCGTCATTCGCCACTGTGTCATGTTACGTTGCACTACTTTTACTCGACCCTCTAGCCAGTTAGTTTGAACAGATCGGTACCTTGGCATGACCCCGCAAATGTACTACTCCATCCGACTCCCCTATTGTGTTCTTTCTTGGTCTTGTATTTGTGGGCATATAACAAGTTCGAGGCGAAGGACGTATATTGGGTCTAATGACCTCAGACAAGGGTGGTTTCCATAAGTCCCCATCATCAGATCTCCCATCTCGTGTTAAGTATTGCTGTATTATTTTAGTCCACCACTACTTTGCCCGTGCCGTGTGCTGTCATTGCTTTCCCTCCTTAGCTTCTACTCTCTTTGCTAACCGTAGTAATATGGCTGGCATGGAAGAGGTCAGAGACCATTGCACTGGTCATCAGGTACCTGGTGCTGTTCATGGTCATTGTTGTGCTGTGTCGTCGCTTATCCAAAGGCCTCAGCCATACTTAAGCTTCTCACAGATAAAAGTGATTTACATAAGTCCTCACCATCAGGTCTGCCATCTCTTGCCGTCAGGCTGTTTTATATTTCGAACTATCTTACAACCTGTCGCTTGTACTCTTGTAACATATACTACCATAAAATTTGTTTCAACGAACTTCTTTTCCCTTTGCTAACCGTAATGTTTCTTGTAGAGACCTATGAACACTGCGCGCTCGCCTTAGTATTGTAGAGTCAAGGTTTGTGAGTAGTTGGTCTGCAAGGCATAACCAGAGTGCGATCAAAGTCAGAAATATGAGTCCTAGTGATCATAGGCTAAACTTATTTGCTTGCAGTGGGGAGTGAAAGATTTATTTTTCATGGTTCAGAATGAATAGGTATTAAGTCGACAGATCAGTTAGGTTATGAAGAAATGGAGGTTACTTCAGGGCAGCTACAGAGTTCACTGTTGCAGATCATATCACGCTCCACTTCCTGTCTACTCTAGGTCGGTTAT